AGTGTCGAGCGGAGATAATTATGGCTTTCCTTAGTGCCATTTGACCTTGTCTTACATTATGTCCAGGCCTTTCTGTAAGACATGAGAGGGAAATGCGAAAATTCAGAGGCACACGACCACACAAGACTGGACCAAAGATGAGAAACTTGCATGTAGTACCATATAGATGATAGAAGATTTCAAGTCTAGTTCAAGCCTCAAGGGAAACACAAGAGAAAAGATGAGATGAAATATACATATTAGTTGCATCTACTTTGCTTTTGTTTGTCTTAAAAAAAGCTCCCAGTGTTAAAGACACACTTAATTTGTTGCAAATGTGCAATCACATCGGTGTGTCTTATAACTTGGACAGTGTAAATTCAACATCAATCTGCTAAATTACACTGAAATACAAATACATAAATTACATTCTCTTACTTATTGATCATCAAGTGTGGATAAATTCATCCTTCTATTGGAGCTGTTGGAATTAACACAGTATGGCAGAGACATCTAGTGGCTGAAACTGGTTACACCAATTTCTTTCTTCAAAGTCAGCTAACCATTTGTAATTCCATATGAAAGGACAAATCCACAAGCACTCCAGACTTTAGCCAAAGCTAATGGATAATACAGCAGTCTGTCAAATCAAATTTAAAAGGTTGTTTCAAATACTTCATTGTGGTCTGTTGCATCTCCTCATCCATAATTTTGTTCATCAAGCAATAAATATAAAAGTATTGTTTGAAACAACAAACACTCAACATTTTCTGTTTTAGACATCAGTCCAGTATACATAAAAAAAACTACAAAGATACATTTATAATGGATGGCACATATGTTCAACATGTTGAAACAGAATGTTGTAGTCATCAGTTTCCATAAGTTAGCCGTGAGTTTGTGAGGCAATAATGATTCAGATAAGATGTCACTGTACTCTGGAACACTAGCAAATTGGTTCTAACTTGGCTGAAACATGATTACAACAAAGGATGTGTTACCACAGGTGCACTTAATGTATACTTTATGTATAGATAATAGCTATTATTATTAGTAGTAGTACACTTAAGTAAAATATACAGTGCCAATCAGTCCAATGCATTTATGCTGCTGCATTATAAGAAAGCTTTCCAAGCTGTCTTGAGCAGGTTCAAAGCATA